TAGTCTCCTTCATGATTAAATGAGCCATCTTGAAAGGTAGCTGTGCCTTTACATCGAAACAAGACAACCGTTGATCATGCAATGATAGATATCTGTGAATAATTGTCTGTAGATGAAAGAAGATTTCTATCATTGCATACTGAATGGTTGTCTCACTTTGATGMAAAGGCACGGCTACCTTTCAAGATGGTGCAGGAAACCCTGAMGAAGACTATTAGGTTTGCRGTGCAGTCATGGAACAAACACAARAGAAGAGATAATGGGATTATAAAGAAAAAAAAAATGGAAAAAAGAACTATGATACCTTGATTCATATTCTTGTAATTCATCAACTGTTTATTGACATCATGAAGTCTTTGGTTAGCAATTTTAATCTGACTTAATAATTTATTGTTTTCAGATTGTAAGGAATGGATTCTGTCCCATAATATCGTGTCATCATGCTTAACAGAGTGGAGCTGCGGCATGTCGTCACCTACAAGATAGTGATGAATAAAAAGAAGCTTCGTGAAAGATTCATGGTTTTCAGTGGTTGACTCACAATATCGACAATTATTTCCTGTTTTTTCAATTCTATTACCAAAGAAAATTATTATCATTATATTGTAAATAAGTTAGTTCTGTGAAATAAAGATCGTGATTTTTTTTTTTAAAAAGTCATTTTTATTGCTTAAACAAGGCCACTATCAAATTTGATTCATTAAAAAAGTCTATGCTAAAGATAAACTCATTCTCTAGGCCTAAACACACTCAAGATATCTTAAATAAAGCATTAACTATTATAAAACTATTACAAGACTTCTTCTTCTATATTTAACCTTCATTAAACCAATCTTTAAAATCATGATATCTAAGCCTTAGCACTATTGACCCTGTCTTTAAATCTAGACATATATAGATATAAATTAAGCTTAGGGTCAAGCAAAAGCCTGGCAGATAAGTATGTGTTGTCAGCCTGTGTATTCTCTTAGACATTAAACAGACATTAGTAGAAATGGTTGTATACATTGTTTTATAGATATAAAATTGAATAAATAAAGAACTACTGAACTATGAACACAAATAAAAACAGAGTAAAATTAAAGAAAACAGATATTAAACAAGCAATCAAGTAAGTAAATAAATGAGAAAGAAGAATGTATGTATAGATTGGCAAATGAATGCATGAATGAAAGATGAACAGATGAATGGATGAACAAACGAGAGATGGGTAAACAAATGAATATAAAACGAAATATGGATAAATGAATTAATGAATAAACAGATGGATGGTTGAATAGAAGAAAATAAATACAAAACAACTTGTATTAATTACAGTACTTTTAGGGTTTTCTTATCAACCAGTGACCAGATACTAAAGGTATTTCCTGGACAACACCCTCTACAAGTGCTTCACTTGAAACCATATCATCTACAGTGATTRCACAATGGATGCTAAAGTGACTGTCAATCAATCTTGACTATAGTGTGTGGTCCCRATGWGGGGCAGACATGATAATTGTTAGAGTCATTCCAAAACACATGTTGCAATATGTAGAACACACTCAAATGCACACCCATTTTGGTGGTACATTAAAAAGTGAGTTTAAAAAGTTATAAAAGTGAGTCTTTTGCCCAGGTTTGCAACTTTGTAGTATTGTACAGTTAAGTATTGTTTGGTGTAAGTGGAGATGCATTAGTCAATTGAAACCATTGTTCCCAAACCCCTGGCAAAACCAAGCAAATTATATTTCAACAATGTTAAAAGTCCTGGCTATTCTCTGCCTTTGGAGACAAAAAGGTGGCTATAAACTGATCATTCCATTTATATTTATACATTAATTAGCCACCTCACAGTGGATTGACGCTGTTAAACAGTGTTAAATCACTGCCATAGTGTGTTAATTGCCCAACCCTTCCCAGTAGGGCTTTGGGTGCCATGGTTTCAAGTTGAAGCATTGCAGTATTAAACTACTTGTACAAATGTATCTAGATTTTTCCTTAACTTCGTGTGGACAAAGTGTAAAGTGGGCAGAATTTAAAATATCCKCTTACATGAAGGAGGTCAGGTCTTAAAACCAGCTCAATTTTCACGGTTGGTGTGCCAAACTAGACAATTTAGCTATACACCACAGGACATTAAACCTTCTCCAATTTCATTGCCATTTTTAGATTTGACTACTAATTAGATGTATTTAGCATACCAAAGATTCTTTCATTGTTCTCGTCTGTGGTCYAGTTAGGTGCAATGGATGGGTTGGCTACTATAGTAATCAAACATGYGCTATCTTTGTATCAAGGMGTTTGCTTTGAAATACGCTCATTTTTCTRGCATGCAGAGTTGGAGCAATGGGTTGTATAACATCTTTGATTACTATCRAGACCCATGGAGTCAGCCAATTGTTCTATAATTAATCATTTGTTCCTGAGTTAATCTAGTGAAATACCTTAACATATGTCGCTTGTTATAAAAGATAAGAACGAGATTTAAGTGTTGTTTGAGCTGCWAGTCGTGCAGAACGGAAACTCAGAAGCTAGTGCGGAGGAATTTAGACAGCTTTGTCAAAAAGTTTAGAAAAATATTTACGCAAGCATTAATAAATTACGAACATTTGGTAGAATGCGGAGAGTGGAAAATTACTTTAATTAAAGTAATGTAAAGGATAAACTGGAACGTAACGAGGGTAAAYTATAATCTTTTAATTGGACTCATGCGGTGCGCAGAAAGATTGAAGCGTACCGCTTAACTTAAGATTCTTGAAGAAGTGCACGTAAACTTTTATTAAAATCATTTCAAGCTAATTTGAAGTCTATGCGGTTTTTTTCTGCACTTGCGGTGTCAAAAAATGTCAAGAACATTTAATTAAACCTAAATTAAGTGTGTTAATAATGCTTAAAATTGCCGATTTATTTCTTTCGGTKTGGTGGAAATTTTACTAGAGGAGATAACTTAGCTCGAGATTAAGAATAGAGTTGAAAAATGTTCTTSATAATAAGCATTTCATTACAACAACATTGCTAGAAAGTAGAACTTATCAATAGATTTCCGATGAAATAAATATTTATAGGAAAACATTCTTTTCACTTGCGGGCGTTGAGCCAGTCCGTTGGGAATAGATTCTCATCTAAGCCTTGTGTTTATATGATTAGATCAAAGTACGAGTTCGTGAACAACAACAACTGTTTATGAAAAGAGATAATCACAAAGCTGTATTTAATGAATCAATGAAATTGAGAGAATATTGGAATTTATGTGAAGGAATTAAGCTTATCAGAACAACTGATTAAGTTACACAACAACTTTTTTGAATGGGCACAATATCTCGAGCTCGCCAGTGTAAATCAGAACAGCTGATATTTTTAGCAAGTATAAACTCAAGAAAGAGCTCTCACCTTGTGAGTGATGGACCGGAGGAGTAACCCACCAAAGCACAACCGATGAACCTAGYGATAACATCAACAATACTCCCAAAATCTTCACTTTGACGACAGCCATGGATGTGTAGATCATTCCTCGGCTTTCTCCACCGCTAAAACACCAAAAACCACACAAACCCAGTACATTGTACTGTAGACTATAAGCAGGATGTGTAATGAAAGTCTACTTAAGGCGCTGAAGCCCGGTAAAGTTCAACGATTCATGTTATAGCACACAGAAATCGACTGTCTGTCAAGAGTTCGTCATGTTGTGGTCTACCGGAATGAAGTCACGTGTGCGCATGCTTGTCAAAAAAGGACGAGGGGGACTGGTAACAAAGTCCGTGAAAYTGAATATTTCGACGAAAATAATGCATTTGCTCGTATTTCATGGCGTTTTTTAATCAATTTATTGATAAACACAGTTTTTAGGGGGATAAGCAGATTCTTAATAATGGAGACTTAACAACTTACAGCCATCTATTCACCCCTTTGCTTTTCTTTTTTCGCTATTTTAGTATATTACTATTATCAAACTGAATTAAAACACGGAAACTTGGCGTATCGCATTTTTTAATTCATTTGATTCCRTTGTTATACAAGCAGCGTTTGATTKAAGAGAAGCTGCATTAATAAAATGTCTGTGTGACTCACAGCTTGAGCATTACATGTAACTATAAAACGAACGCAAGGACAAGAGAAAAATGAGATAAAAAATTTATACAACGTCAAAATCAAGTTTCTTGTCTGCTTGACTGATTTCCATCAACTCAATGTCAGGCGTGAAAGGCATTTCGGGAGAGAAGCCCGATGATTCTGAGGACAGCGGTGACGTACTGGTTATCCTGTGGTTCTTAGCATTGAACTGAAACTTGAAAATGTGATGAATGAATACATTAATAGACTAAACAGTCAACTCTCTCTATTACGGACACCCTCGGGACCGTAATCTAGTGTCCGCAGTAGCGAGAGTCCATAATAACGGGAGTTACTTTCAGTTATTTTTAATCGCCTGGGCTGGGTTGTTCAAAGCCCGATTAGCGTTAATCCAGGTTTAACTCCGAAGGTTTTTTAAGAGTTAACCCAGGATTAGCGCTAATCGAGCTTTGAACAAACCGGCCCAGCTGGGATTCAGTATTTTACTGTCCGCAATATCGAGGTGTCCGTTGTACCGGGGTGTCCGTAAGGGGAGCGTTGACCGTAGGGTGGGTGAAATGAAAAAATTCCTCGGTTTCAAGTTATGTCAATACCGCCATGTTGGATGACGATAACAAAGCATTTCTCTTTGTTTCGCTTGTTCAGTCATCCAACATGTGGGCGATAGCTTTGTTTCGTTCTCGAGGGATTCTTGATCACGTGGTTRAAACCCAAGAATATATGATGCTTGATTCAATGATTGGAATGGTTGTTTGTATGGGAAATAAATAAATGGATGAATYAACAAATGAACAATCAACTTACCTGGGTAGGCCGCAAAGGAGTTCGAGTATAGAATGTACGAAAAGAATGTTGATTCTTAGCCGAGTTGCCCACTAAACTTGAAGTTGAAGCATTAAAGGCCTGTGCGACAGACAAAGACGTAAACATAACCATTCACATATAAAAGAACTAATTAAGTTAATCAACTGATCCGACATTTATCACTTTATAGATACATAAGTAAACTAATGCATTCCCTGAAACATTCMTGCATTCTTTCGTCCATTCATTCATTCTGTCTCCCATCCATTTTTCTCTTCACCTGCATACGCTGCTTAGCCAGTAGTCGAGGACTGCGTCGTATCGGACTWCCAAGTGCTTTTACCGCGTGGTGGTGTCTTCGAGACTTTCGTCTCATTGCACCAGGAGAAAATGGAGAATTTGTATTGATATTTCTCTTATCTTCTGCAAAATTGAAAAAAAAAAATGAATCAATCAATAGAGAGTCCGTAGGTCCGCGTATTATCCTTCCCCCTAAAATAATATTACAACATAGAGTTGTACCTAATGGCAAGTTGGAGGTCAGRGGGGTGCGTCCAGTGGAACAACACACTCCTATATTCACTGGTGGRCTTTGGTGAGATCTTGAGCTAAACGTCACCATTTCAATCTCTTTGTCTTGGTTACTTGGAGCTTCATCGTTACCAAATATGGCATTCTTTAGGGGGCCGGTGATGTAATCCACGAAKCGATTGATGATTGGTGGCTCATGGAAGACTGGGACTGAGSTTCCTGAAATGGGGAAAACGGGCGGAAAAGAAAAGTTATATTTCTAGTTTTGGATGTGAACGTTTAATTTCGCGATACACGMCTATTGCTSAAACCTGAGTAAAAACTATCCATCAATTGATAGAGAATTGAAAGATGTACAGTCACATGACTTACGTTACGAATTACGTTACGACTTACGTGACAACTTACGTCTTACGTTACGACTTGCGACTTACGTTACGACTTACTTTACAATTTACGTCTTACGTTACGACTTACATGACAACTTACGTCTTACGTTACGACTTGCGACTTACGTTACGACTTACGTTACAACTTACGTCTTACGTTACGATTTGCGACTTACGCTACGACTTACGCTACGACTTACAATTTACGTTATGATACGCTACGACTTACGGTTTACGTTACGACTTTCGTTACGGTTGAGATTAGTGTCCGGTAAATGAAGTGTCGACCACTCACCTTGTTTGGCATCATTAGATTGTTGCTTAAATCTTTTAAAGCTTGGAGTATTTTCCTTGTTGCTATTAATGCGTCTCTTTTTGGCTGTTGATATCGAATTCAAAAATCAAAGGCAGTAATAATGAATATCAATGTACAGAATCGTGCTAGTGGTGCAGCGAGTGAGCGTTGTGCGCGAGTTTGAAGCCGACAAAGTTTAGGCAAAGTGCAGAGAGGGCTATTTTCTCGGGCAAAGCATGTACTTTCCTGACAATCATTAAATGGCTTGTCGGAGATGAAAAGTGCGAGGTCTATATTTCCCATCATGCCTTGTTCCAGAAAAAGGCGTCGCTGCACGTTGTCTAGTGAATGCGATATATGCATCTCGTTTGTTTCTTTGGATATGTCTAGCCTGCGTAGCGGCCCTAAGGGGATTGGGGAGGGCCGGCCGAGCGGGGAGTGGGGTGTCTAGTGAATGCGATATATGCATCTCGTTTGTTTCTTTGGATATGTCTAGCCTGCGTAGCGGCCCTAAGGGGATTGGGGAGGGCCGGCCGAGCGGGGAGTGGGGAGGAATAGGCCGAGCGGGGAGTGGGGAGGAAAATATTTTCCTCCCCACTCCCCGCTCGGCCGGCCCTCCCCAATCCCCTTAGGGCCGCTACGCAGGCTAGATATGTCAGTCTTTTTTAAGCAGCACTAACCATTGGTTCGTTCTTCTTCTTCATGTAAAACGTCCTGAATGGACTCGATTTCCCATTTCTGTACTTTAAGCGGGGAGTGGGGAGGAAAATATTTTCCTCCCCACTCCCCGCTCGGCCGGCCCTCCCCAATCCCCTTAGGGCCGCTACGCAGGCTAGATATGTCAGTCTTTTTTAAGCAGCACTAACCATTGGTTCGTTCTTCTTCTTCATGTAAAACGTCCTGAATGGACTCGATTTCCCATTTCTGTACTTTAATTCTGAGGATCACTGGAACCAGGCTACTCCTTTTGATTCTATACCAACAGATAAACATGTAACAAACGTTTCGGTGGGGGAGGTGGTTGAAAATATTTTGTCAAGAGACATTCAAATCAAGCCTTGCGTAAACTCTTTTAGCATGACGGTTATCCCGCAAACTGAGATGCAGAACAAATTACATAAATGCCCACTTTTCTAGACCCTCGCTAATGCGAATATTACTAAAATAGTACGATCTCGACATTCTCCGTACTGTGGAAAGATTTGAATATGGACGGTTTTTTAAACAACTGCCCGGTACTGCGGATCATCGCTATTGTGRACAATATATTACTATATTACTTATATTACACGTACAATCGTGCCGGAGGATGAAGCAGGATGGGTAAACAATGACACATCTCGTTAGACTTCATTAAAGAATCTGCAACAAGAAAAAAGACAAATGAGAAGAGTTTTCGCTACTTGACAACCTTACTGAGCTCGAAAAGGTTGATGGGAAGACTAATCACATCCCATCAAACATTTCGAGCAATCGACACKCAACTGTACCTGAGAGGACTTCAAGGATTGAGAGAGCGACTTGGAAAATTACTGATACTCCTATCGAGATGTAGAGAGAAGAGTATAATCAATAGTAGTCTTCTTCACGGTTCCCAGCGCCATCTTGAAAGGTAGCCGTGTCTTTACATCGAAGCGAGACGACCATGGAGCGTGCAATGATAGAAACCTTCTTTGACACCTACAGACAATTATTTACAGGTATCTATCATTGCACGCTGAATGTTTGTCTCGCTTCGATGTAAAGGCACGGCTACCTTTCAAGATGGGAACCCTGAAAAAGACGATTGTTCAACCAACCTGTCAATTAATGACTTATCGCGCGTAAACTCACTCAGTAACAATACATTATAAAGGGTGACAAAGGGCGATAAAACGGCAGTGTATTATAGTTACCAAGCATATTTTTTTAGTTCTTTTTAATTTCACTGATTTGACATCACAAGCAATATCGTTCCGTAATAAAGTGTCTTTTACCTTCAAGAATAATCAAATCCCATATGAACAGAACTGTATCCCAGCAAGGCAGTGACGTGAATAAAGCCATAAACCAAGGTGTCAGGTATATCAAGGGATCGATACCATGCTTTTCCTGGAAATTAAAGGTGTCGGGTATATTAAGGGATTAATACCATGCATTTCCTGGAAATTAAAGCTGTCGGGTATATCAAGGGATCAATACCATGCTTTTCCTGGAAATTAAATTAGCATAAAGTCCGTTTGAATATTAATGATAAATTCGATCAAACATCATCCAACATTTCTTTGGTTTCTATGATATTGAGATGCTTACCAAATGTTTGTGGAGATTATGTTTTCTCTGCTTCATCAGAGCTTCAAATACAAGAGAATGTCGCTGTATTCTACAGGGAAAAAAATAATTATTATAATTCACGAAACAGTAAGGTATTATTTTAATCATGCTGAATTTGTTTTTACTTACTTGCTGAGGGAGTTATCAAAATATCCCATGAGGTATTTCGGGCGTTCAAATAGCGACACMAGACACCAGAAAGCTTTCTATTGATTTGATAGGCACAATGTTAACATTAGCAAGAAATTGAGCCAAAAAGACTTGCTGGCATTTTAGGAAAAAAGAATGAAAGAGTGCTAGTTACCTCCTCTTCCATGTTCATTAATAGCATTCCTGCGATGTAGGACATCCCTGTAATGACAAACCAAATCATGAGCTCATTTTTCTTTTCCTTTTTTTTTCAATTCTCATTTTCACTTTGTTTGTTTGTTTTTTTTTTTTTTTTGAAATGTAACAATGTTTCATCACTGGGTTTAATTGAAATCGCTTTGTTGTTGCGCTCTTCGATTATTACATGTGTTCTCTGAACAACAACAACAACAACAACAACAACAACAACAACAACAACAACATAACAACAACACAAAAATCGCCATGAAAAATAACTAGTATATAATAGTTTGATATTTTATCAATGATTTGTCAATGTTACCTTGACAATAGGAAACTGATTTGTTATACTGTGAGTACACAGCCARCACTCGAAACAGTGACGCTCTACCCTCCTTACCCTGGGTAGTACCATCCATGAAAAGACGGTGGGTGGGAAAAGATCTATCTGCAGAACAAACATGATATTTTATTAGTTCTTACTTGCACTCAGTTTGTYCCAAGAGAATGTGTTAGATTTAATTAATTGCCAAGCTTTCACGATCATGAAGATAATGATAAAATGATGAAGATAACAATGATGGACCATTGGGCWCCCTGTGTAGCCAATGAGCCTGCGATCAACACTCTTCCCATTCCTTCTCGTCATACAGAGAAGCGTCTTTCGTTGAAACATTCTTCGCTGACATCACAAAACATTCATTCCTTTCTCGCGTATTTACCTCCACGAAAAGCTCTTTTGAGCTAAAATGCCGACTTGGTGTATAGTCCGAGGTTGTAAAAATACCTCGAGAAAGAAAGGAGATTCGGATTTATCATGGCATGCTTTCCCACATCATGACGAAAGCTTGTGTACAGAGTGGATGGTTCGAGTGAAAGGTCTCGAAGAGGCACAAACTCGGCAAGTGAACAAGCACTGGAAGATTTGCAGCGAACATTTTGAGCCCTCATTAATCGAGAAAACATTAACAGGAAGAAAAAGGCTCAAGAAAGGCGCTGTGCCGACGATATTTGACCAGAAAGACATCAAGAGACGGCGTGAAAGCATGGAAGAACATCGACAAAAGATGGTAGCTGCAGAAATAGCCTTCATGAATGGAGAAAGTATCACAATCGAGCCAAACGAAGACATAGTTCAAAATGTTTCAGAAACCTCTAATGAAGCACAAAAGTTAAATGGACTAAAGAGAGTTTTAAAAGAGCTCAAGCAAGCCAAGAAGAGYCAAGATACAAACGAAACAGTTTTCTCCGATAGTGAAACTAGCWCTGCAAACAATGACCAAACCAGAAATCTCATCGCATACACACATGTTGTACCTATTTTGACCGAGAAAGATTACTACGAAGCGACAATCACAAAACTTAGGGTTGAAAACGACCATTTACGATACGCGCTCAATCATGACAGGCAACAATGGTCTCAGACGGAGAAAGARCGAGAAAGAATCGCGGCAGAAAATGCAGAACTGAAGAAAGGTCTTGAAGACGAGATGCAACTTCGAAAAGGTGTCCAAGAYGAACTTACAAGAGAACTCATGAAACGCTCYAAAGTYGAACAAGAATTAGAATCRATTTCTTTTAACTTTCAAAATTTGTCTAAAACTCCAAAGTTTATGCATTACTAYTCAGGTTTTACTGCAGAAGAGTTTGAAAACTTCATTGATTTTCTTGGCCGCAACACTTGTGAGAATCTTAGCTTTGGAGCTGGAGAACGAGGAAAAAGCATGTTTCAAGATGGTGTTGATATATCACAACAACGAAATCCTCCAGGACGAAAACGCAGTCTGAATCCAAGAGATCAACTTCTRATGTCTCTATGTAGAGTACGCCTGGGACTTACATGCCAGGACCTTGGTGTCAGATTCCAAATGTCCATGGCTCARGTATCAAGAATAACTGGCTCRTTTATAACACTGATGAAAACACGGTTTGTCGAAGCAAGGGTGTGGCCTGAAAATGAACACRCCCATATCCATAACAACCAATGGCCAGAACTCCTGAAACCATTTCAYCAGCGAGTGAGAGCATTAATTGTATCATTGAAATCACATTTGAAAAATGTTGCACGTTTTCCCCAGCATGCATCAATGGTTACAAAGGACACACCCACAAGTAACATAAGTAGTATTCAGGACGCATTGTAATGTGGTAACAATGAAGATATTTGAAAAGTAAAATCAACTCATTTGTCACAATAAGTTTTACATTATATCTCTAAATGTCAAACAAGACCATTGCAAATACTTTTCCCATTAGCTTTGTTATTATACTTACCYAGGTCTAACATGATCTGTCTTAAGATGGATAGTTTTTGATGGATTTCGCTTTTTGCTGATGTTCTTTTCTGCAGCGATTCTGGACTATCATCACTATCGTTACTGGTTATGTTGAGTTTTCCTATAAAAGACATTTATTTAAGTCACCAATACATGTAGAAAAAGTGAAGTTTTAGAGTGAGATCCATGTACCGTAACACTATATGTTACATGGATGCTGTAAATAATCAGTTGTACATGTGAAATATATTTAACTTAAATGTTATCCACAAGCAAACGTTTTGAATAAAGTACACAATTTCACTAGCAGCTTGGTTGATTGAAGAAGTATGCATGACATGTTTTGTAAATATATTTAACTTAAATGTTATCCACAAGCAAACGTTTTGAATAAAGTACACAATTTCTCTAGCAGCTTGGTTGATTGAAGAAGTATGCATGACATGTTTTGTGTTGTTTAGATTAGCCATAAATTGTTGTGGTAGATGGGACATGAAAGAATTATCAAGCAACAAGTATCTCATCTTTGAGAACCCAGGAGTAATCTTAATTCAATCATTCCTAACTCAATATTTCCATGAGGAACAACAAAAGTGGGCAGCTCAGGTTATGGACATATTTCCAAAATTCTGGGGGGTTTTCCTTCCATACAAAAACTTTGTTCACACTTTCTCATGGACAGACAGCTCTAAAAATGGACACTTTTTCAGTTTCCTAATGGTGTATGCTTACAAGAGATTCAACTGTTATTCCCCTCATGAAATACAAACACCTTTGGTTATAATAAAACACATTTGTTGACCAACCGAGGAAGWCTGGTAAATATCAATAAATTTGTCTTTGAGGCATATCAAGAAACCTTACCAATGACTTGTCCAAGCTGTTGTATACAGTTTCTTCCTCCATATTCACTGACACCAAGATCAACCAAGAGACTACGWATCTCGTTGAGGGTGGTCTATTTGTAGAAGAAAAAAAAAGATAACTAGAAGATTCAACTAGAAGAGCCAAAAGTGTGTCTTCATAATTAAGATTGACCAAAACCCCACAGTATAAAGTACAGTAGTTTTGTGCCTTGCACTATTGAGCATCTTGAATTGGATCACTACGGCATCGTAGCATTTGTCCTTCAAAATTACTTTTGCTCTTGGAAAGTTTTTAACCTTGAGAAGTTCTTAGGAGCCAAGTTATGTAACCCATAACATCCATTTAATTTACATTCAATGTTGAATATGGTATGGTAGAGTGATCGCACTTCAACCGTGCAACTGTACAAACTCTAAGTAGTACTAATTAGCACTATTTAGTTTGTACAGTTGCATGGTTTAAGTGCCATTACTCTAATAGGTTCTTATATAATAGATGGTACTGATAGAATAAGCATAATTCAGCAGTATTTAATCTTGCATATCATTATTCACCAGCAGCATTCACCAGCATTATTTATTATTATCATTATTTATTTATTATTATTATTTATTCATTATTCACCAGCAGTATTTCAGTATTTTTTTTATTTTTTGGTATATATGTTACTCTGTCACTTTATTCGCGCGGTCCCAATCCCCTTCGAGAGAGCCTGATACTCAGGCTATCACTATATATGTTAACCGGTAAATATTCTAATGATAACTGATGGTTAATATTATTCACTAATAATAACCTGATAGCTAAAGGTGATATTAGCCTTGATAGCCGAAGCATCCAATAATTTGTTCCACAAATCTCCCCTCACTTCTTTTGGTACTCCATGTTTGATGGCTAGACGAACCTAAATATGATTCAAGAGAGAAGGCACTGAAACAAACTTGATAATCTTAGAAAGTTATAACTATCATAATACACAAATACACACTGACATCAATAGTCTTCTTCATGGTTCACTCAAGACACCAAAGCAGACAACCGTTGAGGGTGTAATTCTAGAAACCTTTCACGCCTACAGACAATATTATTGACAGCTGTCTATCATTGCACACTCAATGGTTGATGCAAAGGCATGTCTACATTTCAAGATGGCACAGGGAACCAGTTTTTATCTGTACTGGTTGTGTTTCAGTGATGTACACCTACTTGCGAAAACGTTGTCATAAAAAAATAGGACATTTGTATTTTAGTAACAAGAAATAAATTATAAAGACAAAAGAAGGTCACTGATGCTGAACGCTTTCTTTTGTTTTGTCTTAATTTATTCCTTTTTACTAAATTCGAATGTTCTATTTTTGATGACAACGTTTCTGCAAGTAGGTGTAATATGACTCCAATTTATCAGAAGCTGTCATTAAATTGTGTGCAGATCACCATGATTGACATCTGTCAATCAATGACTACCTTTTATGGGTATGGGTGAATATTGCCACCAATATTATTTTAGTGACATAATATTATTTTAGTTATGAAAATTTTCCAATATCCTTTACAAGCTTTTTTAAATAGCTACAGTATATGCAATATTATTCTTACATATTGAGGTGACATGCAAACGTTGTCTTTATCTAGGGATGATAGGATTCTCTTCCAAGTTCTGTCCTTCGTAAGGGTCGAGGAATCACTGAAAATGATTATAAAGATTAATGCAACCAGAGTTAGTCTAACTCTGTCAGATGCAACTAGTATCATTATGAAAAATAAACACAATTTTACTGTCAAAAAAACATGATTACTATAGCTATATAGTGTTATCGTAAAAGCTCATTAATATACCTGAAATCATGGCATCTTTCGTCGTCTTCTGCTTGAACAGTTCCGTCTTTGAATACAGCAAAACCGAACATATCGAAACGTGAAACATGAYCTAGAACACATCCCTCTTCATCCGTCTCAACCGACATTTCTATAGCGTGCTTGTTCAGTAGAGCAGCAATGTACGCGACCAAATATATACGTGAAATGAAGTTAAAGCTGCCTTATCTCTAAAAGAAGTTTTGTAAGAGCAGGAAATAAGACATTTAAAGGCATAAAAACTGGAAATTCAAGCCAAAGAAAAAGTTATTTCAAAAATACGCGCGGACAAGAAATGACCGTGAGGGGACTGAGACTTGTTTATAGTACCTAGGCCCCACTCTGTTTATGTAAATCAAGGATGGTCGTTTGTGACGTAAGGTATTTTGACGTTCGATATTTTGGCGCAAAATTAAGAAGAAATTCACTGAATTTTTGTTTTGTTTTTAGGATAGCCTTTTGAGATGTGCTCGACAGCTTTGGCTGCTGAACCGAAGCTTCTTACACCTATTTTACACACTCTTCAAGATCTGAGACATCTTCCCGGGTAAGTAGCCTGCACCCAGACTAATGTATTCAATGAGTTTTTTGTTTTTTTGTTTTTTTTTTTAGTACACGCTCCAGGTCGTCACTCAAGTACTTGAACAGAAAACGATTAAACAAAAAAGAGATTAAAATATCTATAATTCGACATTAATGACATTTTTCGACGTTTTTCGACTGGAATTACATTTCCCCATGATTCTCCCATTCTCCCAGAGACGTGAAAAAACTAAGTGCCAAGTCGATTGTATACTATGCCGAGCGGTGAAGAAGCTTTAAATTGTCAACTGAATTTGGTCAAAAGGAAGACTATCTACACCTAAATACAGTAAAGTATCTTTGATTARACTGGATTTACATTCTCCAATTATTTTGACTCCCGGACATATAAGCTTTAGTGAAAAAAATCTAAGTGCCAAGTCGATTGTATACTATGCCGAGAGGCGAAGAAGATTTAAATTGTCAACTGAATTTGGTTAAAAGGAAGACTATCTACACCTAAATACAGTAAAGTATCTTTGATTAGACTGGATTTACATTCTCCAATTATTTTGACTCCCGGACATATAAGCTTTTGYGAAAAAAAACTAAGTGCCAAGTCGATTGTATACTATCCGAGCAGTGAAAAAGCTTTAAATTGTCAACTGAATTTGGTCAAAAGGAAGACTATCTACACCTAAATACAGTAAAGTATCTTTGATTAGACTGGATTTACATTCTCCCGTGATTTGGGCTCCCGGACATATAAGGTTTTCGTGCATTCTGTCCGGGAGCCTGTCCAGAGACGTGAAAAAAACCTAAGGGACAAGTCGATTGTATACTATGCCAGAGACGTGAATTTTTTTTTAGAGAGCTAACATTTAGAACTAAGTATCATAATAACCTAAAAGTTATTCACATAATTAAGAGATACATTACCAAGACTAATTACGTGTATCCTCGGTTTTTTACCCAATAATTTACTATTTCCTAAGTTTACATTATCATTTCATTCAAAGGGGGGTGACTAGTCACCCAATTCAAAAAGGTGTCGAGGGAAATAGACTGTAGGAATGGTCAATGAATACATTAGAAAAATACATGAATAAATGGATGGAACAATAACTTGTTCTCTCGGGCCGGAACGTTGACTAATCGATTTCTCATCGGAACGTACAACGAGGCTCTGCTTGTAGGAAAGATAAGTTGATGTTGCAATAATACGAAGGAAAAAATGATTGAATGAATGAATGAAAACAAATCAGCAAACAATTGTCAAATGGGACGGAAAAGATGAAAATGAAAATAAAAAGCATTGTAATGAATGCAAGAAGACAAAAAAAAAGATGGTACWTACAAAATATCCTGAAATATAAGGAGTGATAGCATTGCTAAGCTCCTGTTATCGGGTGATCAGTGACGCGCACACTCGTGCTATAATGAGATTGAGCACTGCACTAAAACAGTTTTTTTCTTTCAATTCAGTTATGCCGGCTACAAGCCACAGTGTAAATGGCGATATGGCGATACCACCGGCAATGATACGGCAAAATACTTTCAACAACGAAGATCGTTATTATTAGAAAATAGCAACAAAAAGGATCCCGGGGAGGAGTGGGACAGTAAAATCACGTTCCCTACATTGTATTCAAATGATCCAAAGCTGGTGATTGGTGCACGCACTCGAGAAAGAGACCGCTGGCTTGCTACACCGAAGTATGTGATATCTAATCGTGAAAGAGATGTGGAAATCAAAGATTTTAGTCAGGTAGAGAATTCTTGCCTCTGAGGGGAGGGGACAGGTATATTCATGGTGATAGGATGATAGTGGCACTGCACAAAAATACCATGWACGCCTGCAATGCTTTTGAAAGCGGTAGTGCATCTTGGAACTCGTCTCATAGATAATGATGATGTCTTAGAATCGTCCCCAGGCCCCAAACGAAACGAAATTTTGACGATCTTGTTATAATAGCATGATGATGATGATGATGATGATGATGATGATGATGATGATGATGATGATGATGATGATGGCAAAGATAATGTTGTTTTTGTTGTTTTTGTTGTATTTTTGAGCATGATAAAAAAAGCGCGATTATAAAGACAGCATTAATAATACAATCTTTCGGATTACATTTGGCATTATGATATGTAAAAGATGCTGACGTCTCGGCCGATGACAGCTTGTCACTTGCGAATACCAGAATATGAGCTATTATGATACCACCGATGATAATGATTTCAGAAAGCACAAATGCAACGTGAGTTTATCAAAGACAAGCTAGGAATCGTCCCAAGGGTGGAACACTTCGTCACACCAACAAACTGGAAACAAGAAGCATTCAAACTGCCTGCTTTAAAAGAAGCTGACAATCTACAGAGCAAGGACAAAGACAGGTACGAATCATAGTTTTCACTAGTTTATTGGAAGTTTATTACAAAAAATATGAAGAAAGTCAAAGTTGCACATGCCTATATTTAGGTTTTGAGGCACTAKGATATCAAATGCAAAGTCATCTCCAGGTCCTTATCCCTCTTCCCGACAAAAACAGATGGGCAAGGTTTTGCTTAATTGCGATTACCATGACAACTCCCGCTATTATCACTTATGTTAATGTTTCTATAGTAACAAAGACCAAGTGTCAATGTGGTGCCCCTTGTGYGGACGAAAGGCGCCCCAAACAGTGAATTTCAAGGCCTTTATCAGAGAGCACCATGTGATGCCTAAGAAAATATGTCCCCCAGCATCAACATGGAGAGACCGACAACTTCGCGACCTGTATTTTGAACGTCGATAACTCATCGTCATGGTTTCGGGATTTAYGAATAGTTTACGAATCTTTGAGATGTATGTTTTTGGGTTGTAATGAACTAGTTGGAATGTAAGTTGGAATAAACGTACGATAGKTCGGTCTGAATTCGATTGTGATTTGCAAAAACGAGGAAACCTGGGTGGAGTGGGACGGGAGTGAGTGGTCGAGATTATCACACTCATTTAATACTTATCGACTACTGACACTCCGTTAATAAGGCAACTGATTAAATAAATCATCGTTCCTTGCTAAAATGTAATGTGGACAGTATATTTGTGAAATACGTACAAACTGACGGCTCAAGACAATAATATTGTCTGCATTCTTTCTATACATTTGTGGATGCGAGCCGGCTGCGTGTCAGCGGGGATTCCAATGATTTTGGATCCCCCCACTTCCTTTCGTCTTCTTCGCAGTTTTGAAACGATATAAAAAGGCTGGAAACTCCACTCATGAATTCCCTGCRAGCCCCTGCTTGCTAGAGTATTTTATTGCAGACGTCGACATATATTTGCGTCCATAGTAGGTGCATATTTGGTACTCAACATAAGTTAACTACGACGTCCTCAATTAACTGACATTAAAATTCCATCTGCACGTCATCTRTGACATCACAAGCCAATATAATYGACCAAGGGAGGGGAGGGCAAGTCWCACGTCTGATGATCAAGGCATAAATACAACAAGACGCAATGACGAGGAAAACACTTGGTGATATCACAGCTGTGGAGAACATGCTACCCATGTATCTTTTGCTGCCAACAGCTTTCATAGCACTGCTGGTCCTGCGTTATTTGATGCGGCTGTTGTTACCAAGGCCTCAAGTAACCGACTTTTACAGCAAGTATGTCCTCATCACCGGCTGTGATTCAGGTTTTGGGAAAATGACCGCAATTCGCTTGGATCGGTTAGGATTCCGCGTTATTGCTGCTTGTTTGACAGACCAAGGCAAAGAAAACATCAAGAAAATTTGCAGTGATCGATTGGTTAGCATTAATCTAGATGTAACTAACTCGAAACAGATCCACGAAGTGTTTGCCAAAGTCAAACATCTTGTGTCAGAAAAAGGTAATGATATATTCATTCATGAAAAATACATCAAAACACACTTTTTTAAAGGATTAAAAAGTACATYGAAATTCTTTCCTAAGTAGGGGAATTACTTTTAAAAGCAAAGTTTCAAAAGTTTTGAATGTTGTTTCTTCATTTTTCCCATTCTTGACATAGCTTTCTAGTTCCAGTGGTTAGTTCTATGTCAATGTGTGCTGTCAAAACGGCTAGAAGTTTGCGTTACCAAAGTCAACAACTCTAAAACAACATTTCGAAGAAAAATAACAAAGTTTCTAGAAAAACTGAACGTTTTTARCATAAATCATAAAATGCTACAGTTTCTCGCCTATGGCTTGAAAATCGAATGGAATTTAATTTTAAATTCCTTYTACCAYAAGAGTCACGTTTCGATTTCTTCATCACCCATGACGAACACGTTGCTTACTGAAYGTCTGGGACAAAGTCATAATCTAATATAAATTCTAAGGGTTTTTTTCGAGCATTTCAATCCCATACTGTGGCTTTTCTACACTGCTCGTCAAGCGTACAGAAGCAATTTTACAAAGAACGTTATTTGGTGATCATTTTATGAGCAGCAAATTTGAATCCCCCGCTTTCTGGTTGTATGATCGCAGMATGCCACCCTGTGTGCTATATCAGGACTAAACAATGATAAACGAGACTGTATTTCTACAGATATAGAGATGGCTTTTTTTAGATTCACCTTGAGTACGTGAGAAAATGTAGGACGGTCTCACGGTCACCAAATATCAAGAATTCTTGTTATAGATTGAATTTTTTCCAGTTTGCGCTTGAGCTCAGATCAGATTTGATACAATTCACCTGCTGATTGTGAACATTATAAGCTATAGAGATGTACATATCTTCTTATATGATCTAGAAAATACCATTTCATTCAGTTTTATGCATAGAACTAGAAATGGAGGGTAGAGTACTGATTCCTTGTTTCAAATATACACTATATAAGTACTGTCCGTAAAATATGTTTTCCGTCGGTACAAAAACGATTCACACGCAAGAGTTTTTATACTTATTATGTCTGCTTGAAAAGTTGAAATTTTTACGTCAATTAAAAGGAAACGATACTCTAAAAGAATGCTTTGAGACTTTGTCAAAATAAATTAGGTTTTTACGAAAACTATTTAATTTGGCAATTTGAACCTCGAATCTCACATGTGTCCAGTTCAATGCGGTACAACATATATGGAAATATTTGCTTTATACGTAGAAGGGGCAGTTCGGACATCGTATATTACACCTGCTAGGATGCATAATGCAATTTATAAAATCTGTTGTTGTTGTTTTTGCTGAGTCACCATGTATTGAGAACGATTAGGCACAGTGCTTGATCATAGCTTCTGGAACGAATCTTAATTCTGCATCAAGCAGTTTACTTCTTTTGTTGATTCATATGCATATTTCATGGCTAAAGACAAAATTATTTCACGGTAGAATCGTACGTGTTGGTTATAAGGGTTTGCTAATGAAATCGTGGCAAAATATGCGATGAATGCGTTCAGGTCTGAAAGTTTTTAAGGGCATTTGACCAACACATTGATAATCTCTCACAACCCCCTGGCTCGCACGTTGTAGACAGTTCTATATAGCACGTATCCTTAAACAGKCTAAGGCMCATATACTCTATAATTACCGATTCAATGACCGGTCCAATGCTCGTCGAGGATCGGAAGTTATTTATCACGTTAAAGTCTAAGTAGMTCTTATATCGAGACCCCTGATTGGTCCACTAGAGTGCGTTATACAAGCATAATGCACTCACACTTCAAGACTAAAAATTACTGAAGTATTGTTTGAATTTGCAAGTGCTTCGTCAGTTAGCGTACTTCATACAAGTATAATACACATAAACATCCATGTTAAAGATTAAAAAAAAATGAAATCTTGCTTTAAAAAAATTATAGATATGGGATATTCCGCAAACACCYTAAAATGCATGCGAGTAAATTATATTCCGGCGTCGTTAATTCTCTAATGTATACAGGTTCTCTATCATATTGACCATAGTGTTCCGTATAGTTTACACTGAACTAGCAAAAGGCTTTTATACTTTCTAAATRTGACAAAGTTTGAGCTTGCTCTATGCCAATATAGTTTCCCGCCGATGATTTTTTTCTGAGTGGTTGCGGGGGAGGCTACGACGACGAGCACRAWACACGTTGCGTAATGAAAGCATACAAATGCACGCACCTCCACAAGRACGAAACCAGGGGACGGTAAGGATGGCTCTCTAGCCATCTCCACAAAATGTAGGATCTTTAGGCAATAGAAATTCACTTTAAAATCAACTTTTTTTTGCTTTGTAAATATAAAAAAACACTTAGTGTCACTTCTAACTAAATAATGAACCGTATGCAGTTTTTTTGTTATATTTTCTTACAACGAATTTAATTGGTTGATTTAAGGAATATGGGCATTGGTCAATAATGCAGGCATCATAACTAATGGCCCAATAGAGTGGTTTAAAATGGAAGACTTCAAACGAATGGCTGATGTGAATCTGTGGGGTTTGATTGAAGTCACACAAACATTTCTTCCACTGGTGAAGAAGGCTGAAGGACGAGTAGTGAACGTGGGAAGCGTAGCAGGTAAATATTGATTGATTGATTGATTGATTGATTGATTGATTGATTGATTGATTGATTGATTGGTAAATATTGATTGGTAAATATTGATTGATTGATTGATTGATTGATTGACTTTCTCTGACTGACTAACTGATTGATTGATCAATATTATTTCATCATTAATTTGCTTGCTAGTGTTGATCTCCTGCATGCTTTCTTGGTTGGTTGGTCGGTTAATTGATTGATTGATTGATTAGTGATTGATTGATTGATTGGTTTATTGATTGACTTTCTCTGACTGACTGATAGATTGATCAACAGTATTTCATCATTGCTTGCTTGTATTGATTTACTGCATGCTATCTTGATTGGTTGATTGATTGGTTGATTGATTGGTTGGTTGATTGATTAGTTGATTGATTGATTTATTGGTTGATTGATTTTCTTTCCAGGTATCATGACTGTTTTCAGTTTTGGTCCCTACTCGGTCACCAAATATGGAGTGGAGGCTTTTTCTGATGCTCTTCGTAGAGAGATGGTAGAACATAATGTCAAAGTGTCAATCATCGAGCCTCAGGCATTCAGAACCCCATTGGTTAATGGACTCTGTGGAAAAAAGCTAGATGAATTGTGGGATAGATTGAGCGACGAGAAGAAAAGCGAGTTTAGTAGTGATTGCCTTGAAAAAGGTAAAGCGATTCCCAAAGACATTCTGTGAAGCTGAGACGTTAGACATTTCATGTTTTCAATGATAACCCAGATACTTGACCTAACGGCCCTTCACCCTACAAAAAAYGAGGGAAAAGYTGATCGACCCMTAGACCAAGATTTTTAATCCCTTGCAATAAATAATTCAAGTRACATGAGACTTGAATTACTAACCAAACTTTTGTGTATTTTCAGCTCGCGAGGGTATCAAGGGTATTTTTGACAGAGGATTGAATGAAAACCCCAAGATGGTAGTGGACGCCATCACCGACGCTGTATCGTCACGTGACCCACAGCCTCGTTACYTGGTCGGACCATTTGCCAAGGTTTTCGCCTTTTCCTGTTTGCTYCCAACATGGCTTCAAGATCATCTTCTCTCGCTGGCTTGATTACTGTTGTTTTTTTAATGTTATGCTTTCCCACAATGCATCATAGTACAAGAACGTGACACGAACAACTATGACGTCATTACAGTATACTTAACATTTKGACGTCACTTTGACATATTCATATATTATTATACGTCATTATAGACATCATACACATATTTTGACGTCATTCTGCTGAAGCTATTCTATAACGTGTGAATGGCATCGGATCGTCGTATTATTTTGATATTAAAGTATACATTATGACGTAGCACTATGACATCATATAACACCTTACATATCTATATCTATATACCAATGATTATGATCAGAAATATCATCATTATACCATTGTATATCATATCATTATAGTTGTAAACTGAGAGCACTGGAATGCATAAACTAAAAAAATGAAAAATGTTAGTATTGTACTATGTTATGCGAATTCCTTCTTTGTTTACTGTTGTCTAATCTTCATTATACAGTTATGTGAAAAGAACGAAGGATTAACATCCGAAACGTCAGTAAGTTTTTCCACATACTTTTTTACGGTGTTAAATTTATCTTTTCACATAACTGTTTCTTTAACAAACACCGACGCAGCTCACACTAGTTTACCGCTAGTTCCCACCATTTTAATCTTCATTAGCTACGGTATTATTTGGCCAGAACTTTTTCATGCTTTTAGTGTTTGCAATCTACCATATATCGATGTATAGAGTGGTATTCATAAACCCGTGAAACACACTTTAGCGTATTTATCGCTATTACACTTTGGCTCTTTTGTTTTTTATTGTCTCTACGCGACTATTACGATCTATTACAATCTAATTATTGCACTTTGTTTCACGCGTTTATGAAAACCACTCTACTTAATATACTTAGCACTATTACTATATATTATCTATCATGTCATCAGCTAGCATTAAAAATGTCTTGTATCTGAATAGAAATGTCATGTTTATATCCATACATCAGCCTGCGYACGAGGCCTGCCTGTGAATTTCTCTCAGTGTACAATCACTGGTGAATTTTTCAGCGATATTGAGAAACTCTGCATTCGAGCAGTTTTGACATRATTAAGTTCCCCACTATTGGGGAGGTCAAGTTGGGGTGGTACTAATTGGGACTAGGAAAGAGTGCCTGTCTGTAGCTAGAGCTGTCCACCTATACGAAAGTGTGAATTCTTCATTTTCACTATACGTCATATTCCTCCAACATGGCCGCCGGTCTTTTATCTTTTCATAAGGGTGGAAAGCTTTCAATACTTAGTGCGTCCGCAGGTGGAAATTTGACTGTTACTTTGTTTTGGCCTTATTCCTTAAACGACCCACGTAATAATCCAATTCATTCGCGTTTTCGGACCTTTCCGTTACTGGGGAGCGGTATTGTGCGCGCCTCCTATGCCTCCCACAATGCCTCTGGGTATTCACAAGGAACGCCTGTMTGTTTTGGATTGAACGCCAAAAAATCACGCAAGCATGTTTTCGCTGTATATTCTTCTTGCCTTCATTACATTTCTCTTCCTGCGTTATTTGCTGCGGCTATTGCTACCAAGACCTAGAGTGACAAACGTTGACAGCAAATATSTCTTTATTACTGGCTGTGACTCGGGTTTTGGTAAAATGACTGCAGCGCGCTTGGATCAGATGGGATTCCATGTTATCGCGGCTTGCTTGACCGACCAAGGCAAAGATAACATCAAGAAAATGTGCAGTGATCGTTTGATAAGCGTTAGTTTAGATGTGACTAACTCAAAACAGATTCAAGATGTGGCTTTCAAAGTGAAGGAGCTTGTAGGTGACAAAGGTGAGATTATCTCATTTTGAAAGGTGCCTTGCATCGATGCGAGACGACCTCCAGGTGAATTTGCAGTGATAGAAACATTCTTTCACACTTACAGACAATTTTTCTTAGGGTTTTATAAAAACAATCTCACTAGTTGTAATTGAATTGAATATTAATAAAGCCCTTTGCACCTGTGTGCCTCTTAATGTTGATGTTGATGTTGATGTTGTAATCACTGATGATTTAAGGTATCTGGGCGTTGGTCAACAATGCAGGAGTGATGACCAATGGACCAATAGAATGGTTTCACATTGACGAATTTAAGAAAATGGCTGATGTCAACCTGTGGGGTGTGATTGAAGTCACACAAGCATTTCTACCATTGTTGAAGAAAGCTAAGGGTCGGGTAGTGAACTTAGCAAGTATGGCAGGTATGGGGATTCTTCTTCATTTATGCAATCAAAGAAAAGAATTATTCCTTACATGATTGATTGATTGGTTGATTGATTGATTGGTTGATTGAATGATTGATTGATTGGTTGATTGATTGATTGCAATCAGGGGAGGTGCTTTGGGTGCAGGCTCACCCCCCCTTTTTTGATGACGTATTTTTTAATATATCACTATAAACGTTGTCTTCTGTTGTTTATGCTCCTGTTGTACTTTAGTCAAGAAAACGAGTAGCATACACAACATGTGTCTGCCTCTGTGCTACTTAACAATTTGTTTGGGTATTGTAGTCAAAGATACGTTGCAATAAAAGTCGATTTGCTTCTGTTCAAATTGTGCATAATTTTCTTGCTCTAGGCAACGATTATTTCCATATTACTGACAAAAGCAGCCCCCCTTTATAAAATGCACCCCCTTCTTATAAAATGCTGCATCTGCCCCTGGATTGATTGATTGATTAAATGGCTGATTGATTGGTTGATTGATTGACGTATGATATCAATTATCATCATAGGGTTTTTTAGTACATTTAGTCTGGGACCCTATTCAGTCACCAAATATGGCGTAGAAGGCTTCTCAGATGCCCTTCGCCGAGAGATGGTTRACTTTAATGTCAAAGTGTCAATCATTGAACCAGAAGCATTCAAGACTGCACTGGTTGATGGGATATGGGGGGAAAAGCTAGATGCATTATGGGACAGATTGGCCGATGAAACGAAAAGTGAATATGACCTTGAAAGAGGTAAGAAAGCTTGAAGAAACTATAATTATATCCTTTCAATAAGTCCTTAAGTGAATAARATACATGCAAATTTTATGGAGTTGATAGCCATGCCCAAACTTCAACAACAAGCCAAGTCATTCACAGCATTTTTTTTCATTTCYTATTTTTAGTTCGTGAAAGAATCAAGAAGCTCTTTACAGCTGGAATAAATAATAATCCATCTTTGGTGGTAGACGCCATAACTGATGCTGTGACATCTTGTGACCCATCAMGACGTTATCTTGTTGGTTTTACTGCAAAATTTGTCGCTCTKACTTGTCTGCTTCCAACTAGAGTTCAGGACTTTGTGTTGTCGTTAGAGGATACGATAGGAAAGATGCTAGTAACACTTGGTGTCCGTTAAAGCCGTATATATGAAGCTTAAGACATGTCTGTAATCGAAAATTTATTTTTACAATCATGAGTAATAATAGTYAGCTTCACTCCACACTTAACCATGTAAACTATTGACATCACATACATTGAATTTTACACTGTYAGAAAAACTCTTTATTGATGTTTTACACCCATTGGTCAAACTTTGTTTTTACATTGAGGGCCACCATAACTCATTTTTATCAGCATAACAAAACACATTAACCTGMTTCAAGGTGTTTTGCTATACTGATTAAAATCAATTCAAGTTAAGATAAGTRGACAAAAACAAAGAAAGAAAGAAGGACAGAAAGAGTGTTTTAATGTTTCCTTTTGACTTAAATTGTAGTTGTCTGTTTACTTTTATAGTTTTTCTTGTCTTATTCATAGTGAAGGCAAAAAAAACAGAGGTAATTTATTGATAAAAATTACATCTTTTAAACTCTATTAAGCTATACAAAATCATCATTGTCATCACTATCTGATACAACAACAAAAGTTTTCTTTGTCTCTACAACAAGAGATTGTTCTGCCTGATTTGTTTTCTCTGTTTTCCTTTTTTTACTTSCTGTTTCAGAAGGCAATGTCTTTMTTGATGAAGCATTYATGTCCAAACCATTRCTTGCTTCTGTGGTGATGTTGRATTTGCTTTTACGTTTAGTTTTAGTCTTTGATTTTGTCTAGTAATAAAAGAAAGATTTCAATAATAATCATTGACCAAGATGATACAAGATGGATTCCCAGAGATCAAAATGAAGTGCTGCCTGATGCTCTACTTTTGATTAACAACATGGACAGCAGAACCGGCGGAACCAGGCCACCGCAATAATTTTCAATTTGTTCATTTTTTATATACTCATTAAATAGATAACTTAAATTTTTTCACAGTGTCTCCCTCCCCAATAATGTTTTGCTTCTGCCATCAATGAACAACACTCACATTTTCTTCATTCTGATCTTGTAATAGGTCCATTTTGACTTTCAATCCTTGCATCACCATTCCAGCCCTCGTTCCTTTAACCAAGTAACATATCGTTGAATATGGAGTGAAGTGAAACTCCTCCTTCAGAACTCCCTTGAASACTAGATGAACTATCAATCTTTCACAGGCATCTTGGGATAGATTGGGAGGTGTAAYTGAGCGCACACGCAGYGAGGTTTGACCCTTTCCTTTCCAAGCATCAAGTAGTTTGTTTGGTGTGACTCGTTCTCCAAGACTTGCTGCTTGTTCCAGTATCTTTAGTAGGCTTATAGTGTAGTCTGAGATGTCCATGGTTGTTACTAAAGTTAGTTAAAAAGTTTGTTACTAAAGGAGAGACAAGTGATCGATAGAATAATCTGAGAAACAAACAGTACTAATTGCTACTAAATTGTGTTAGGCAATGGGAAGTTAGCATAATTTAGCACCTACATTTCATGATACATGTAGTACTCTCTAATTTAAAAAGTCAATATAAATAGAAACTAC